ACTAAGATGTCTCGAACCCAGGTTAGATACAATATGTAAGCAGCGCGTCCCTCCAAACCGTCTGCAAACTAGCAGATGGCCTAAATTTCTTGAGATCCTCACTTCCAATATTCACAACTTTCTTATGAACTAGAAAGGGTTTGAACCCAAACCATATGCAAGGCAAGATTTCTGTGCTTAATTAATTAAGAACTGGGCCGAAAAGACAAATGATGGAGAAGAGTATAGCTCCACAGATCTTGACCTTGACACTAGATTGAAGTGGGAGGTTTCTTCCGGCAAGAGCAGCTGGCACCCATTGGATAGGAGGCTGGGTGGGCCTCAGAACCAGCTTGAAAGCTGCACTTGCCGGGAATCAAACCCCGGACGCCCAGCCAGTAGCCATTACTATAACGATTTAACTTTCCTGGACCCTTTTCAATCCATATATAGCAGAATAAAAGGAAGACATGATGAAATAACGACGGGCAACAGGTCTCAGTCGAGATTCGAAAGGGGCACCTACATAATAAGAATGTAAGTCACTACACCGTAAAGCTCCGTGTCCTTGAGATCTGATAAAATAGAGAGGAACGATTCTGGTATATGATTTACATTCACAGTCTTTTTGATATCTCTGTAGCTTTTATAATTGTTCACAAATTTATCAAAATCGTTATTTATGTAAATTTTTACTAAAATTGAAATAAAGGTTTAGTGTGGTGAATGTAAGATAAACTGATAAAGCTCCCTGTAAGAGACCGTGGAGACCGATAGGGTTGTGAGACTTCGAGGCTCCCACATTTTTCTAGACAATCGGCTCACAGATGGTGGTGAGTTTGTCAGCCGCAGACACCGGCCCACCTTAACTGTCCGGAAGATTCTTTGTATTCGTCTCTGTTAGAGGCTGAATCGACCTCCAGGGAAATTGTGCTGCTGGAAGGATTGAGTCACTTGAAAAATTTAATGACATCATCAGAAATCGAATTCGGAACCTTCCAGCTTGTAGCACAGTCCCTCAACCAACTACGTTACCGCGTGCCCCAGAGGTCTGATATGTGTCTCATTAATTATCTGATTAAGCCACTCTTCAGGAATGGGCAACAATTTTAATTCTATCTAAGTTTGTTTTATTTTGATTTGTGTGTTTATTTCATTTGTGTTCGTTCTACTTTTACCTGTTTAACATTTACATAACTTACAGTTCCACATTATCAGGAAATTTCTTGAATAAGTATACACCTATGAAGTTCTTCCATTCTTGTGCACGGCAGCATTTGCGTAATACAGGTACATACCTGCATCCAAGAATTCCACAGTTTTCACATGAAATAAATAATCAGTCTCTTGACATGAAGTAAAACATTAGAAAATTTCCGAAGCATATTTGAGCAAAATTTTAATTGTATGTATATGTACGTGTATGTGTTACATGCGTGCTTAGTACACTAAATAGCTGTTTAAGTGTCACTTTATTCCTGCAAATTAAAAATACATTTCAGCGATTACGGAAACTTTGTCGTTATTGGAGAACATCTGTGGTTTTTATAAGCGAACATTATTATGTAGGTTTATATAGGCGGGTTTTAACGTTTTGTTAAATGTGTTTCAATGAATGATAGGCAGATTTGTGCACTGTGATTTCCTTGCCTGGTTGTCTATTTAATAGGGATTAGAATGGAACACTCGGAATCTCAGTTATAACAGATTTTGAGGTAAGAATCCCAGATGTTATAATAACACATTTTATCTGTGATTCAAAATACAAAATCATAATTTTAAATGAGGGAGAATAAGTTGTAATGGGTTTCCTGTGAGACATGAACTGAATTTTTATATATTATGGCAGGTGTGCTGCTTGTGAAGCCGGCAGAAAGAGCAGTTATTATGAAACGGCTTCGTAAACTCACGTTGCTGGGCACTGGCTCAGTAGCCGTCACGAGAAGGCATCGACAGACACCCACGCAACAATATAAAAACTGCTCGAAGCGGTGTTTTCTGCGCGGCCCGTGCCGAGTTTATATAACGAAGACCAACTGCCATTCCCATTCAGTAAGAGTCGGGGTCGAGAGTCTGGAGAAGAGTTGAGAGGGAGTTTGCGGGCAGTCACGGAACACTTGTACGAGTAGTTATGAGTAATGAGAACCCTGTAGCTGCGACTGGGGACAGTTCAGGAACCCAGAGGAAGAGGAACTCCGGCAGTTGGAAGCCGCTACCAAACAACGTAGTGAAGACCGTGACTGAGAACGCTTGTCTGTGTGTAATAGTGGTTTGTAAAGTGTAGTCACGGATTGTTTATTAAACCCATTACGAATCCAAACTCCTTCTATAGTCACTGTCACGTGATAATATTATTTAGAAGATATGCGGTCTTTAGACGGTTAATCCTTTAAAGTACACTGTACATGTACCAGTTTTTTTATCCTACAATGAAACTCAACATTTCCTGTTAAGAGAGTATTTACATGTTGCATAGGGTTCTCACAATAAGGGCCTCTAAGTTCCCAAAACAGTATATCCGGTAGGTCTTCGTAATGACAAGGGCGCCTTGTTCCTAAGGGAGGAAATACATTTTTCGATTCTGTTTGAATGAAGCTCTTGCTTCAAAGTGCTAAGTTGTTCAATAATTCTACAATTTTCATTCAGTGTATCCGAGATAAGACACATTAAGTAGATACGAATGAATGACGCGGTTGAATTATGAGATTTCGTCAGCCCCTCACCCTATTCTACGCTGCATGTTATTGCGGTACAAGACGATACAGTGTCGTCTTATGTAGAACAATAAGTTCAAGCTCTTCTGGTTCCATGTTGTACTTCTATATTTGTTTATGGTTAATTATAAATACTTCTTTCATCCATCCAATACGCTACCGGTGGTGTAGTTGTTTGAGGCACCAAGTTAAAAGCTGAAAGGACGCTGGTTGGAGCCCCGATGAGGTGGATTATTTTTTTCAATTTATTTAATCCTTCCAGCTGCACTATGGCTCTGCAATCATTTAAGCCTCTAACAGAAATGAGTACTAAGAAAATCCTGCGGAGTAAAGGGTGAGGTGCGGACCTGTGAGCCGATTGTATAGAAAATGTGGGAGCCTCGACGTCTCACAACCCTATGGGCCTTCACGACTTGTTACAAGGATAGCTTTACCTTGTGTAGATTGTTGGCGATGACGACACGGTATTAATGTAATGACAAAATTAATTATAAATGTACATCTGTTGCAGGTACTTATTTATCAATGGGATAGTCACTTAAATATAAGTCTATCATTTAACAGGGTTATGCAACATAATATTAAGCGTTATTTATCGAGATGTGTTGTTGCACAGCTGTTGACAGTCTGGCTTGTTGTCTGTAATTGTCTCCTCTGACGCTTACGTCTGAAGGCTATAAGTTGGAAATGCTACAAACGTTAAAACGGAAATAATATCGAAAGAGCTTCAGATAATTGTACGATAAGGCTTAGATTTCTAACTTGAATTCAAATATTTCGGAGTGTCAAAAAGATTCGGCAATAAACAACTACGTTTTATTTAGCAAATGAGATAGATTGTGAAGGTTTCCTGAATATATAAAGAAAATAAATTATGGTTAGGTTTATTACATTTTATTATTATAATCGAACATAGACAAGAAGCATTACTGGGATTTTTGCACATTTTCCATCGTTCCATATTCTAGAGACTAGAAAACATGACGTTTCGGAAACAGGATCTGTTTCCGTCCTCAGGTAAGGAGGGGAAAACACCTACTATATTGGGTCCCTTAGAAAGAGTCCTCCTCACCTGATGATGAAAACAGATGCAGCTTCCGAAACGCCGTGTTTTCTAGCCTCGAGAATACCTAAAAGTCCAGAAACTAAATAATTCTGTGTTATACACCATCGTCAGAATCCTTTGGAATCAACATAGACATGTTTAGTATCAAGTCTATAGAATATCTGGCAGATACGCATATCTTCGGGAGAAGGTTTATGTAGGTTGACTTACTACTCTATGTATTATAAGGTAATTGGAATTTGTTATGTTTTACAGGGCCGAGAAAATCTTGTTAAATTCTGTTTTAAGAATCCAAGAGGTTTATCGAGTACAGCAGTTTCATGACAATGTATGTAACGACATTGCTACACTATACAGCGTTAAATACTTGGACGTGTAGGTAAGAGCTTATGGCCAAGTTTCAGTACTATCCCGAAATACGCGTGGAGAGGCTGAGAAAAACCAGAAAACTTAAGTCAGTATAGTCTGTTCCGGTCGAAATTTGAACTGAGTACCTTCAAAATGCAGTACTTGATAACTTCTTTTTAGCAACAAGGAGAACTCTTTACATCTATCGAAATTACCTAATTATGTATTACAACAAACTGCAAACTTTGAGAAGAGAAGATAAGAAGCCCGACCCTCGAGTACTAGGAAAGTGAACGCTTCAAAATTAAAACAACCTTAATTTTGTTAATCCTTCAGTAATATATTCCCATGCCTACTACAAAACAGAGTTCAATATTTATTTAAAATTTCCATTAAATCATACTTGAATATCAAGCACCAAAATTATAAATTCATTAGCCTGCACATTCGTAGATACTTTTTTATTGCTAGTGGGGTGGGACTAAGTCCCTTGTACTGCGGCCACTTCTGGCCTATTGTACCAGCCCCAGATGATAGGTGAGTGTGATTGTCTAGCATTTGGTGCAATGAAGATTGGCAGGGGAAACCGAAGTACTCTGAGAAAGCCTGCCCAAGCGCCACTTTGTCCACCACAAATCCCACTTGACCAGACCCGGGTTCGAACCCGGGGCGCCGCGGTGGGAAGCTAGCGAATAAATGCTTGAGCTATGGAGCGGCCCTGCGTAGATACTTACTGGGCTCCTATTGGTTACTTAGCATTTAACGCCTCCGAGCCATTTATCACAAGCACAAGGAATTTGGATGAAATTAATACAGACACGAAAGAAGACACTAAGTACCGGGTTTCAACCCGAAAAGTAAGTAACAGGGAAGTAAGAATTACTTGTACTGACCTGCCCGAAGTGCGTCCATGGGTACCGATGGGTAAGGTATCGAGTACGGGTAGCCTTCCTTTCGTAGTGTTTTCGGTTTCCTCCTGGGGCGGTACTTGTAGTCGGGGTGCTCCTTCATATGCATCGCCCGCAGTCTCTTCGCCTCGTCTATAAATGGCCGCTTCTCGTCTTCAGTTAGAAGCTTCCATTCTGCACCTGAGTAAAAACACGTGACTCGTAACTCTCTGATTCTGGAACACGAACATTCAGCATTGTCGAAGAGTTCCGTATTCTGGGATACATGGCCTTGTATTTGATAGGCTTTCAACGGACTACGACCGCCTCAGTGGTCTAGTGGTCAGAGTTCCTGGCTACAGATCCAGAGATCTCGGGTTCGATTCTCGATGTTACCAGATTTTCTGAGAAGTAGTGGATGTGGAACGGAGTCCACTCAGCTAATTGAAGGAAATAGCGGCTCCGGTCTAGAAAACCGAGATTATCGGTAGTGGGGAACCGTTGCGCTGACCACGTTAGACTTTCTATCCTCAAAAGTTGATACGAACTTCGCCGACACGCGGGGGTCACTGGGTTGGTATAGTTCGCTTGCGGACTGCAGGTCACGGAGCTTGTACAACGGACTACACAGCGTTGTAACCCAGATGATATAACTCTTTGAGAACCTCAAATTGTTAAACCCAGACATATAGCTGTGCTTTGCCTTAGCTAGTCGAGTCCATGAGATGGTGCTCACTGTACAAATTTAGCCCACGAATCTGAGGGTTGGTGCTGGATACACAGAAGTTACATATTGGATACATTTTATGTGAATAGATTTCCCATGCTCTAATAGTGTTGAGGGACCAGCGCTGCACGCGCAACACGTCAATCAATATAGGCGTACTGTATATCTGCAAGTACGCATATGCCGGGTTAAGGCCTTACCAGTTCATAATAACGATAGACAAAGAGCGTCCTCATGCGTGTAAAATCTGCCACCCGAGAAATATAGGTGGTTACGTGACGAATAATAATAATGATTCGGTTTATTGACACTTCTTTACAATTTCAGTCGATTATAAGAGTTCACATATTTAACTCCTTCTGAACGACGTTTGTCTGAGGAAGTCTCGGACAGACCTCAGTTTCCTGTCTGACTCTCACTTCTTCGAATGAATGAATCAACTTCCTTTAAAAACTGACTCAGAATCTAATAGAGATCACCACCTCAAAGGATTTCATTACTGCTCTACACGAATCCCTTATCTCGGAATCATGTGTTTAGCAACTTGCTACCAGGCAACGACTCGTTCACTGCTATTCGTTGTAAGGGAAACGTGCTTTCCGATCCGTTGCTCAGCAATGGACGTCTGCTCCATCCCCACTATTCCCGCTTTCAGCCGCCATGTCAAATTATTTTATCGATATATGATTCCCACATCAATAATAATGTGACGTGTTGCGCTATGCAGGACACCCCTCACCCCGCCAGCAGTGACGTGACAAAGGGATACCGCGGTTGCTATGCAGCCGTAAACAACTCCCGACAGCGTTGCTAGCAACAAGGCGCCAGACAACAGTGGTGCCTATTACGTGGTTGTTTTCTGTATTGTCCGGAACGGGGCTAAATATGGAGTAGCGAAGACTATTCAAGTCAGTTACGAGTTAACCTGAGAGTCAGTCAACCAGTCAGTTGTAGGCCAAGTAATTGTAATACTGCAGATGGCAGTAGTAATTGTGAGATTGTAAACTGTGTGACTGTAAGAGCGAGTGGAATAAATTCGCTATATCAAATACGGCGTAAATTTATTGTCGCGTTATACACCCAACACGTGACAATAACAATTTTTGGCAGTGAAATTTGAATTTTCAACCAAGGAGTCTCAGAAATTAAGAACATCATACTTGCGTTCTGAAACACCTGAGCTCCAGCTATTAAATATTCATTACCACTCAGACCAGATACACCGCTTGGTTATACTTCAACATCACGAAGCTGTACACCACAGAGAGTAAGAACATAACCACAGAGCCTACATACCATCGCACAACTAAAATATCTATGAAGGCTGATTGACGGAACATTCGAAACAATTTGCAGTAGTCACCAAGAGCAATGTATATCTTAAAGTATGCAGCCGTTTTAACTGTTCTCTTCATTTCATCAGCCATTAATAGTATTCTAACCTTACACATCGGAGAAAGAACATGTATCACTGCAGAGCTACAAGAATCCAGCTATTACTTACATTTAATATTAGTACTGCATTTCCATAATATCCTAGTAAAAGACCGATATTCTTAATCAAAATAATAATAATACACAAAAAACAAACTCCGTGGCTTTAGTCAGCAAGCGAACTATACCGACTGAGGTACCGCCGCTTGTTGGCGAAGTTAATTCCAACTTAGCGGATAGAGGACGTCACGGGGTCAGTGCAACGGATCCCCAGGGCAGTTAATCTAGGGCTTCTAGACATAATAATAATAATAATAATAATAATAATAATAATAAATTTACTCTCTTTTCTAGTGTATAAATGTATTACGACACTTCTTGAAATTTCATTGATAAAACTGGCTCAGCTTCAAATAAGAATATTTTATTAATATGCCAGTAAATTAACAAGTGTTGTTATTTGTGAATTACGTATCAGTTGATGACGATCAATACGATCCAGACATGTTGCTGTCTATGGGTAAATAATTACTGGTATGTTCGATTACTTTTAGAGCAGACAGTTACTGGAACACTTCTACTGGATAAACCACTGAAGGAAATGCTGATATAAGAGTAATGCAGAAATCTGTAGATACCGTTACTGTGATGTAATAATGCAAACTTAATTGGAAAGAATGGAAACAGATCTCCCGCCGCGTCTGCCTTTCCGTTACGTACCGAGGGACAACGTTATGTAGGGCGACTATAGGGCCGCTCCATAGCTCAAGCAGTTAGTCGCTGACTTCCCACCGCTCCTGCCCGGGTTCGGTCCCGGGTCTGGTCAAGTGGGATTTGTGGTGGACAAAGTGGCGATGGGGCAGGTTTTCTCCGAGTACTTTCGTTTCACCTGCCAATCTTCATTCCACCAATTGCTCCACAGTCACCCTCACCTATCATCTGGGGCTGGTACAATAGACCAGAAGTGGCCGCAGTACAAAGGACATAGTCCCACCCCGCTAGCAATAAAAAAAGAGAGACTAAACCGATGGTGGTGAGACCGGCACCGAATTGGGATTCACAGAAAGCGCCCTAAATGGCCTAACCTTTTAAAATTCATGAAGTTGTTACTTCCGGTCTCCTGATATTTTCACTACGTTCATTGCCAACGCTTATTCGCTTATTCTTGGACAAACAAATTTTCAAGAAAAATTTAGTTAACTGGATAATTAGTCTATTTAGTTATTTTATCAATGTAAGCTCTTAGTTACTTGGTTAATTATTCTATTGAGTTATTTTATCAGTGTTATCTCTGTCCCTTGTCACAATGGCATGGCTTGTTCCCTCATGTTTTTAATTGCTAGCGGGGTGGGACTATGTCCTTTGTACTGCGGCCACTTCTGGTCTATTGTACCAGCCCCAGATGATAGGTGAGGGTGATTGTGGAGCAATTGGTGGAATGAAGATTGGCAGGGGAAACCGAAGCACTCGGAGAAACCCTGTCCCAGCGCCACTTTGTCCACCACAAAACCCACTTGACCAGACATGAGATCGAACCCGGGCTGCCGTGGTGGGAAGCTAGCGACGAACCGCTTGAGCTATGGCGCGGCCCTTCCCTCAGGTTACTTATAGCGGAGACGGACCAGCGGCCAGATATGGAGGGTAGTTGCGAATGCGTGGAATAAGAAACAGCCTGCAGCCAACAAGGAAGGACCTTTTAGCTTGGGGGTTGGGCGACAGTCTGTCAATTCCTCGCTGCAAAATAAACCAAAATATTACGAAATGGTACACAAAACCTTATGCTGGCTCCTCTGCACACGATAATGAACTTTCGGTTTCCACAAAAGCGGAGAAATTCCGGAGTATCTGAGCGAAAGCTGTGCTATCAATAATGACTACACGTACAGCGTGGAGGCGGTTATTGTGTTCACTGTATCCAGTTAGCAGTTACATAGGAGTTCATATCTGCGTAAATCTGATCGAGCCGGTAAAACAGTTTACTTCATAGCCTCACGTTACGTCTGAATATACCGTTACGTGAATTTAACTTAGATACGTAAATATCCTTCTCGTTTCTAGGAGTGTCATTCATTTGACCCCTAGGTTCAATTGAGCAGAAAAGAATTGGAATCAAGAAATTTTCTTTTTCAATAAAATATATGTAATATTTATGAATTACAATCATGTTGTTAATAAGTGACTGTTCTTGGAACATACGTCTCGGTAATCACGTACGAATGATCCTTCATATTATGACGAATATGACCACTACTGGACAGCGACTCAGTACACAAGTTCCAGCAACACGCAACAATAGGTACTGTATTATTTGGGGCCATGCTACAGCTAGTCCCTACGTTACACAATAATTTTACATGAAGAGGAGTTTTCAATGTGGTCCGCGCCATGCAAGTACTATGCAACAGAGCTGTAAACATGAGGCTATAACAATACGCCCCGAGACAGTTTGCTAAGCAACTCTGTGGTAACACGTTTGTACAATAATAGGTATTTCTATGTGGTTCGTGCCGCTGCTATAACAATTTTTCCTGAATAACTAATAGTGCAGTTGATAATTCCTTATGGGGGCGGGGTCGAATACCTCCATCGTGACCCTGCTAGTTGTAGGAGGCGACGAAAAGGGAATTCTCAACTCTCAGACAGTAAAATATGGTCGCGAGAATGACTGCGCTGACTAGGTCCAGCAGCAATTGTAAACGACAGGCCCATCCTCTCGTCAGAGAAAGAGCACCCCCACATCAGCAAACCCGCAACTGTCTGACAGTAATAGAAATCTGGTCGTCAGCTCCAGGTGGATGCTTTATTCCAAGACAGACTGGCCGACCGACCGTCGGTCGTAACATAGACAGACAGTCAGACTAAGATTGCATTTGGGAGAAACGGAACGGGAGTTCAGACGCATCTAGAGAACGGGAATAAAAAGGCAAACACTTAGTTGCAGTCAGAACCATCTAGAGGACGGGAATACAACGGCAAACACTTGATTGCAGTCAGACGCATCTAGAGGACGGGAATACAACGGCAAACACGTGATTGCAGT